AACAAGATGACACACGGGAAGCCATCCTGTTGGGTCAAAGACCACATTCTGGTCTCAGCATTCCCACTTAGCAAGATTTACTTTTATTTCGTGGTGAGACAGGGTCTTGCTATGTAGCATGTACCTAGAACTCACTACCTAGACTAGGCTGGCATTGTATCTATGATGATTTTTCTAGCTCGTCTTCATGAATGTTAGTATGGGAAACCCTATATGCTGTGTTTTTCAGTGGAACTGTACAATAAGCAAAAGAGTAATCAGTTCTAGATAACCATGGTTTGTTTAAAACAAACACTATAAATTAAAAATAAAATCTGAAACAGGAAGACTTCAAAAAGATATTTTTAATGCAATAATACATCTAAAACAATGAAAAATAAACTTCAAGTATTTGAAAACAAACAACAAAACAAACCAAGATCAGTAGGCTGGTAAGTAGTAATTGTATTTCTATAAATATAGGTCATCAAAGAAATGCCCATTGATATTTAAGAGGGAGAACCCAGTCTAAATGGATACCATCAGAGAATGCCATTTGCAGAACAAGGTTAGGAAGAATGACATGACAGATACACGTCGTGCTATCATGCACACGTGTGGGGAAAGTGAATTATATGGCTTTGGTTTTGGGGACTGATGACACACCTCCACATATTCTAAAGGAATGGGGCCACTTGACTGCAAAGTGTACTGACTGATCCGTTTCACTCCTGAGTTCAAGAACACTACTCTAGTAAGTACATGTCCTGATACATGAAAAGCAGTGGTTTTTGTATGTCACCAAATTTCACTTCAGGATACAGATACACTGAAGCATGCTAAATAGGAGCAGTCACTTTAGGAGCTCATCTGACTCTCTGGGATAGCACCCTCACTGCCACATAGCAAAACTACTACCATTTGACTGCGAGGGAATTGCATTGGTTTCACATTAAAAAAAATGCACAAAGGACAGGATGTATGAGTTCTCCCTCCAAGGAGCCAGCCTGGTTCAGTCAGTTTGTTCTCCTTCAGTCCACCAAAGTCAGATGGTGTAGTGTAGGAGGTATGTGCTGTCTGGAAGGAGTACGACACACACACAGCAGAAATGGCGGCTGAGCCTTTAAGATCTGTCTGCGGGTAAACACTTGGTATGGCACCACACACCATAAACCCACAAGGCAGGTAGAGCTTCTTGAGTTCAAAGACAGATTAGTCTACACTGTGAGTTCCAGGCCAACTGGGAGTATATAGTAAGTCCCTGTTTTTTATTTTTAGAATTGTGGGTACAGCTGCCTCTGCTGTTTTGTGTGTGTTTAGAGTCTGTGAACACTGGAGAAGCATTAGATAGCAGAGTGCTCTTGTACTCTTGCTGCAAAGTACATTAAAAACCTAGCGACTATACTTTCTATGAAACAATGAGCTAAGCCTGGAAATAATAACCAAGCAGCATGAGGGCAGGGAGGGCATTTGGAAATCAAGACTAAACAACTCACAGGACACAGGACAGGGGGAGTTCCAGCTAGAACTTGGTAGCCAAGGCCTTTGGTTTATACTGCACAAAGGGTTTGAGTGGAGTACCTTCAGTGAAAACACATGTTCTTCATGTGTACAGAGCCAATGTACAAACAGCTTGTTCTTCTCAGTATTACATTCCCACTGGCTGAAGCAGTGAGTATGAAACAAAATCTTTCTAAACAACCATGGCAACAGGAAGTACTGTAGATTCTTGTAACAATCACACCAAGTGCTACACAAAACTTGGTGGCCTGGTTACCTCTTGCATTTGCTGCTTGGTACCAGGCACAGAAATTGATAGTGGCTCTTTAGAAAGACTACTTTAAAGCTAGGGAAGATGGGGTTCTTTCCTTCAAACAAGAGAGTAATAATTCACTGCGTGTAGAGCCTGCACGATGCAGCAATGCAGCGTTGGAAAGATGAGAAAACAGCAAGCAGAAAGCAACGAACATTTAATACACAGCGATGATCTCTGACTAGCCTACTTATGGATCCTAAGAGGAAATCCAGAAGCTTTGGTACAATTAACTAAACTACAGTAAGTCCTTTCCAGACAGGCTCTTTTCTTTTTCAACTGAATACCTAAAAATATACTTTTCTGCAGCTTTTTATTCAGATTTGATATTAATTTACTAATCTTTCTTTTACTTCCTAACATTTTTGCAGAAAAGACATTAAGTATCATTGCAGGTCCAGTACAACCCTCTGAAAGTGATCTGAGAACTTTAGACTGAAGATTACATGAAACATAATGGAACCACATAAGTAAGGTACAGACTGGTCTTCTCCCAGGTTCCCAATGTTATGACCACCAAGTGCTAGAATGCAGACCATGCCTTGAGTGCCTACAGTTTCTAAGGAGAAAAAGAATGAGACTCGAATTTCCTTTTGATCTTTAGTGTATACTACTTAGAAACACATGCAAACAAGAAGGTAAATAAATGACCAGCATAAAGTGCATCAAGAAGAAAGGTTAAGTAAATACCTTGAAGTCTATCTAATTGCCATTTGTATAAAAATGTACATCTAGAGGTCATTAAAGACACCACTAAGTCCCCAGGAAAACCACTTCTGCCTGTTCACTTACAGTCAGAGGACTGGCACAATTATTCAGTCATTACACAAAGGAATAACAAGGAAGCTAGACGACTGTTAGTCGCCCTTCCAAATCATGCCCAGTTGCTAACTAACTGCTCGGCTTTTCCCTCCTACTAGTAGGTAAAAACCAAAGCTTACCCTCTGTGTTACCTCAGAAGTCTGTATCAACACTTATCTTATAGAATCTGGTTAAAAACACTTGGAGGGCTGATGGTGTGGTTCAGTGGTAGAACCAATTTTTTATTTTGTTTTGTTTTTCGAGACAGGGTTTCTCTGTAGCTTAGGAGCCTGTCCTGTAACTAGCTCTTGTAGACCAGGCTGGCTTCGAACCCACAGAGATCCATCCACCTATCTTTGCCTCCCAAGTACTGTAGTTAAAAGTGTGAGTACCACTGCCCTGCTAGAGTCAATTCCTAATGTATATGAGACTCTGGTTTCAATCCTAGCACAATGTGGGGACAGGGACTGGGACAGGGATGACCAAGTGGTGTGAAACAAATGTTTATATTCTGTCAATTATATTTTAAATAAACGTTGATTGGCCAGTAGCCAGGCAGGAAGTAGAGGCGGGTCAATGAGAACAGGAGAATTCTGGGAAGAGGAAAGCCCATTCCTCTGCAGTCCCAGCGCAGACACAGAAGAAGCAAGATGTGACTGCCTCGCTGAAAAAGGTACCGAGCCATACGGCTAACATATACTAGAATAATGGGCTAATAAAAGTTATAAGAGTTAATAAGAAGCCTGAGCTAATGGGCCAATCAGTTAGTATAACTAAATGTAGACCTTTGTGTCATTTCTTTGGGAGTTAACGATTGTGGGAACCGGGCAGGACAGAACCCTGACAACAAACCCAAAACAAAAAGCCAATGCAGGCAGGGAGAACAATTATGGATGGGGTAGGGAGGAAGTAAAAAAGGGGGGGTCATAACATGGGTATCTTACGTCTACTCATTGTACTCCCTAAAGTATCAAAATAATCCAAATCTTGACCAAAATTTAGGAGCAAATTTGCACTCCCCACGCTACAAATCTATAGAACTATGTAAGATGCAGAAGCAGAGAACCACAGGGAGGAGGCATCTTGACAGAGCAGACTTTCTAGAATGCTATTCAGAAGCTTAAAGAGCAAAACAGCGGTGTTTCTTGCTTACACAGTCTACATCCAATTTCAAAAGCCCCAGGTTTATAAAGTATCTCCAAAGAAAACCGTAAGTGGGTACAAAATATAAATTCAAATTTAGATGCAATACAGCTTAAAATATATAATAAATCATGTTTTAACGTGGCTTTAGGATAGGCTGAAATGTAACATGGGGAGCTCCTTAACTGATTCTTACTCTTAGGAAAAGCACAAGGGCCAGAACAAAGCTGGAGAGTCAGTGTTTGGAGTCAGAGTACTGGAGCTCCAGAAGGGACTTTTCTACTTGTGGCAAGTTCTATAATCACTCTGTGTCTCTGTGCCTTACCCATAAAACGAAGAATAAGGTGACATCTCATAGAGCTATTCTGAAGATTAAAGTATAAATAATTAATATTTGGAAGCACATTTATTAAAAGAGGTTAGGAAACACCAGCTATTACCAATGCTAGACAAGGGGGCGCTGCACACAGATACACTGGATCATGTGCTGCCTTCAAAAATTCACAGGGTTCAGCTAGGGTTTATTCAAAATTAATTTTTTGGTTTTTTTATTCAAGACAGGGTTTCTCTGCATACCTTTGGGGCCTGTCCTAGATCTCGCTTTGTAGACCAGGCTGGCCTTGAACTCACAGAGATCCTCCTGTCTCTGCCTCCTGAGCACTGGGATTAAAGGCATGCACCACCACTGCCCAGCTAAAATTAATTTTTAATGAACTAGCTCTTATAAACAGCTGTTTTGTGGTAAATGACTGCCCTCCAGCTTAAGATTCAGCTAAGAAGACACATGGCCACATGACCATGCCATTCTTCAATTCCTATTTCAGCTCAAACAGGAAACGGGAAAAGATAGAACAGAAATGAAAAATTCAAATCTAAAAAACATGACTTTTTGGTTCTGTTTTTGAGACAGGATATCACCAGGTAGTCCAGGCAGGCTTGGAACTCACTATGTAGACTAGGTTTGCCTTGAACTCATAGAGTTTCACCTACCTTTGCTTCCAGAGTGGTGGGATTAAAAGTGTGTATCACCACACCCAGCTACAAGTACTGAGAACAGAAGACGCTATCTACTGAGAATTCACTAAGCATGTGTGTGGAGAGACACTTCTTTCTAATGCTGTGGTAGTCAGTAAGATGAAACTCTGCTCACGACAGGGACTCCAGAGAGAGACACACACACAAACAGAGACAGAGACTTGGATTGCAACCCCAGCTTTATGATCTCTGCCAAGCCACCTAATGTCCCTGCTTCTCTCTGCTTTCTTGTCTTTTTTAGCACAGAAATAATCTCATCACTGTAACTCAGAGGGCAGTGATTAGACTGGATGCAACGTCCACTCTGCGGCCAAACTGAAGTGGATTTCCCTTGCTCCTGCGGTGTGATGGTTTAGTCACCACGTCCTGGTAGGTGAAGCATTAACTGCTGCTTTACATCACTGTCTATTTAAGCTTGGGAAGTCAAATAATTGTGAAGGGCTGGCATCATGACATGCCAAGGCATGGCAAGTGGGTGGAATTACTTTTCTTCCATATATGGAAAACCCTGTATGTTTAACTCTGTGAGACATTCAGTAACCAAGAATATTTCTCTAATAAGCAGTTGTGCAAGTCTGCATGTCTGAATGTGCACATGAAATTCTCTACAAATGGCAGCCGCAGGGAAGAGCATCCAACATGGGGAATTTACATTGGTCTATATAGTCTATAATGCATAGGAAAGTGTTCAGGAACTCAGGCCACGCCTACACACTCATAGAACACACCAACCATGGCTACAGTGTCTCCTTACCCAAGAAGACCTCCATGGGAGGAGCACATGGTAGTTAAAGGTAGATTACTACTTTTTAAAAGCAAATGGAAAATTTATGACTTTCCTTCTTAATTTTGTTCCCTCGGGTCATAACACTCAGGACATTCTTTCCAATTATAAAGATAAACATCAATAATAAGTATCCTCTGCTATATTTTAACAATTAACTTAAATCCAATTTTTCCCTTTTGTTAATCAACTTGTATAGTACAGCTGGGTGTCTGTCATTGGTGTTCTGTTTTGTTTTTTAAGATCACCAGGATGAACTATTCTAACATGCTGAGTGGAGTTAAAATACTGGTGCTCATTAAATCACCAATTCTCTTGTACGGAAGGCATTTTTCTAAACATTTCTAATCAGGCACAGCATAAGCTTTGCCTTTCTATTAGGTAATTTTGGCTTAAACACCGAGGGTCTGATGAGATGGTGTAGTGGACAGAGCATAGAGACCTGAGTTTGAATCCCCAGCAAGCACATTCTTAAAAAAAAAAAAAATCACACTAAAAGCTAAGAAAAGAGTCAGGCATGGCTGAGCCCACCTGTAACTCCAGCACTGGAAGCAAACACCTCCCTGGCTGGACAGATGAGCTAACACACAAGCTTCAGGTTCACTGAGCGATCCAGTCTAAAGAAGAGGGAAAAGAACAGAGGATACCCAGTGTCTTCCTCAGATCTCTGCTTGTGTGCGCACGTGCATGTATGTGTGTGTGTGTGTGTGTATGCAATCACACACACAAATTAACACAAAAGTTTTAATAAACACACTGATATATTTTATTACTTGCTGTACTGACTAGTTTAGTGTCAACATACGCTAGAGACATCTGAGAGGAGGGAGCATCCACTGAGAAATGCCTCGATAAGATGCAGCATGTTCATAATCAGTGATCAATCAGGAGAGGGTGGTGCCAACCCTGGGCTGGTGGTCCTGGGCTCTATAAGAAGGTGGGCTGAGCAAGCCATGGGGAGCAAGCCAGTAGGCAGCATCCTCCATGGCCTCTGCACCAGCTCCTGCCCGCAGGGTCCCGCTCTGCAATGATGAGCAGGGCTGTGGAAGTGGAAGACAACCTTTTCCCCAAGCAGCTTTGTCACAGCAAGAGAAACCCTCACAAGACACTGACCTACATAACTGAAATTTCATTTTGCCATGAGGGTATAGTCACTTGCCTGCATAATTCACTTATGTCAAAGCAAAATTTTGGGGGGGGGTGGGAAGAGGTATAAGCTTCTTAGGGCAATCCTGTTTGGAAATTATTTCTTAGTGCTGTGTTGAAGTTTTATGAGACAAATTTAATTTAAGATAATGCTACTTCTCTCTCTATATTCTTTCCCTTACTAGAACTACAGAGTACATGTTTTTTAGAAGGCATCTTTCAAGGTATGTTGCCATCACCTCTGTGGTCACGGCTTACCAGATACTTAATAAGTGGAAAATTTGTAAAACCTTTCACTGAGAAAAAGGTCTGCAATTTATTCATATTCCAGAAGAACTAAAGACCACACAGCCTTACTTTTATCCTTTAAAATCCCCCACCCCGTGTGTGTGTGTGTGTGTGTGTGTGTGTGTGTGAACAAACTCTAACTAGATTCTCTCATCATCGCCTGATTCTGAGTGGTACCCTTATGATGTCACAGTGATGTAATAGGACAGCTACCTTTTCATAACTACATAAGATAATCTTTGAGGTGATTAGGAAGCCAAACAAGTCTACAAATGTTAATTTCAGTAACCTAAAATCATTCATTCTCAGCAAATATAAAACATTTATTGAGTAGCCAACTATTGTATTAGGTGTTTGGGATCAGTGATTAAAAACACATACACGGGTCTGGGTTAGCAATACAGCGGTAGAACACTTGCCTAGCATACGCAATACCCCAAGTTCAACCCCCTTCACCTAAGACAGACAGACAGACAGACAGACAGACAGACACACACACACACACACACTTCTTGCCCCTGAGAGACTAGGGCTGTAGCTCAGCTGACAGAACACTAGCATTGGAGAAGCCCTGGAATCAGTCCTGCATAAACGAGCTCCAGCACTCAAGAGGCGGAGGCAGAGAAATCAGAAGTTCAGGTTCATCCTTGGCTACATAGTGAGTATGAGGTCAGCCTGGGATACACATGACACTATCTCAAACAGCACAAGATAACAGTCTTTTGGGAGTAAAGGAGAGAACACCTTAAGAGCAAACATTAAGGAATTCTAACATTTAGAACAAAAAGCCTTAAAAACAAACGTCAAGAGTGGATTATAGACTAGGAATATGCTTTCAGAGAAGACAAGCGAAGAGGATGGGCCAGAGCCGTGGATCAGGCAGCGGTGCCCAGCGTAGATGCAGTTGAGTGCCTCAGGATCTGCTTTCTGCCCTCCTGGCACTCTGGAGGAGAAAGAAAACCCAAGCAGACTACACACTAAGTTAGAAAGACTCCTAAATCAACTGCTGAATTGTCTTTTCTCCCCAGCTTTTCTAACCGGGATTTACTTGTCCTATGTTGATTTATATCACACAGAGTACAAAGCAGCAGATCTCTAAGACCGAACACCACATCTCGGCACAGAAGAAGCCTGATGACAAGATCAAGTACCGAGTCTGTAATTCCAAAGGAAACCATGATGGTTTAAGTGGGATAATACATTTCATTTCATGCCACAAAAGTGGCATGAAATCAATAAAGCATACAGCCACAACAGAATTATTAAGACAATATCAGATGCATGAAAAATTATTGCTATGGCTTCAAATATTTGCGCATTACAGATTTTGAGAGTGGTATACTAGAACAAGACTGGTCCAGCATTTCTACAGAGCTCTTTTGAGGAAATTCACTTCAGAAACTCTTACATTTCGGATGAAGTTGCAGTCTTTTGAAAGTGAAAAATGGCCAAGATGTGACTTTTTATACTACGCATAAAAAGACATCAAATGGGCAAACAAAACAAAACCAACTCTTTTAAATTTAAGAGTGCTATACTTTAAATAATGTTGTGCTTAGTTAGAATTATAAACCAATTCAGACTTTAAAAAAAATAAATGTATACACATTCTAAACTCAGCCATAGGATGAAGAATGCACCATTCTGATACAGTTCCCCACATCACTTTTTTTTTTTTAAAAACTGACATTAATTGTTAAAGTCTCTCTGCTATAATTAGATAGTCTCAGTGTTGGCATATTGCTGGAACTCAGAATCTTTGTTCTAAAAGTCTTAAATGCATGACAATCCTTAGGAGGAATGAACTTTGACAAAACCACCAAGTAGAACTCAACTGCTTACAAATAAAAAATACCCAAAGTAAAAGACAACAGAGACATATGTATGAAATGCCATGCCCGATCACTGAAGGCTGCTAGATGTCTGGTCCTAGATGCAATACTAAGTCATCCCTGGCAGGGCACAGAGGCCCTCACCTGCAAATCTTAGAAATCGGAAGGCTGAGGCAGGAGGACTGGAGCTGATCTGGCTTCACAGTGAGTCAGAGGCGAGACCCTGTCTCTTGAAAAACAACAAAAATACTGAGCAATCTCTTATGCAAAACTGTCCCAACAAAAGAGCCTATTTCCCCACCCAGAACACATCATGTGTTCTCCTGTATGTAGCCTCTGAAACTTGAGTTCTCCATTCCCAAAACCTGTGCCTCTGGGGACATTTTGGATCCCGCCAGAAGGGTCTCCTGCTTGCCTGTCACCATTTCCCACTGAAGAAATAGCACGAGTCAGGTGTTTTGTCAATGATCTGTGTCTGGAAGGAAGCTCTGTTGCCGCCTAGTGCGGTACTACGAATGCAGTAGTGGCTGAGTGAGCATCTGTTACTTTGCCTCCCGATGGTGGCAGTGAGGATGACCGCAGCCCCGTAACTGCTTCTTCTTTCAACCCATGGCCACTCTGCTGAAGGCCATTTTCAGCTTGTCCATGTAGGCTGGTTACTCCTGTGATCAACTTTTGGTCAAATTGATATGATATACCTTAAAAACAGCAACAGTGTCTTCTTCTATCTCCTGCTGTGTGTACTGCAGAATTTACAGTGAACTACCCCAGCTCCTTGGATGAGGTTGAGACTCTGGGAGTGTGGAAGACTCTGGGTCTGAAGCATTTATGGGCACAGCTACCACCTCTGTTCCGGTTCTTCCATGAGAACGAAGTTGCTAATGTCTTGTCTGTTATGGAGATGGGCTCTGTTTTCTAGCCACATACAATTATTTTTTTTAAAAAAACTACATAAGCTCCATAAACAACCTGTATTTATATACAATAATTTTCTGTCTTATGGACAGAAGGTCCATAATTTCTGGTAGATTCTAGAAAGTTTGATGATCCCCAGAACACCATGATCACCGCATATAGACAAGTACTAACTACCCAAAGACAGAATTCAGGGCCAACCTACTTCACATGCTTAATGGGAACTTAATATTGAAAAGCAGATGTGACAGAATAAATTATTTTTTAACATTTCTGGTTTTTTTTCTCAACATCCTAGCATGAAGCACCAAAAAACTTAACAGTAGCTAAAAATAGTGTCCTTGCAACAAAGCATCTCAACATACAAAACCTTTGATTTTCACTGCTTCTACCTCAACTGAAACAATACTAAACAACTATATATTTGACACACACACATACATAACACACATATATACATACATACATACATATGTACACACACACACACACACTATCCTGGAGCAAAATAAAAAGAAAGGAAAACAGGTCTTCAGAGATTTCTCATAAAATTTGCCACATCAGAAAACTTATGGAGAACTGAACTTTGTACAGCTACTAGCAATGAATTCAAATCTTCAATTACTAAAAACCCTAAAGCTGGTTTCAACATAAATGAAGTCTAAGATAGGGAGCTTGAGAAATACTCCAAAGACTCCTGGGGTGAAGTGAAGGAGCGTCCAGGTGTGCGAGGCACAGGGATTTGTGAACTATGCCTTCCCCTAAAAGAGGCTGTCGCCCCACATTAAATAAAGACAAATGAAAGTCCCCAAAACTACAGTCAGAAATGTACTTATTGAGGAAGATATGTTCTCATGGAAGGGATCTGAGAACTTTATATAAACCAAAACATTCTTATTTTCATAAATTGTACTGTGAGGAGAAATTATGATTACATAAATAAAGGCCAAAACAATAAAATATACGTGAAATACTGAATCAATCCTGGATACCAAGTTCTACAATAAGTGCTGTTGGATACAGACTGCCTAGGAAGGTAAGAAGACTGAGCAAAATCCCCTCTTGTAAGAAATGATTAAAGTATCCCAGGTCTACTTAAGGGGAAACTGGGTCATGACATGTGGTTTCCAAGCCTCCAAGGTGTGTGAACCATGCCTCTTGTCAGACATTTGTGTGCTTCTCTCTAGCACAGAGTGGGAACCAGCGAGAAGCAGTGGTGGGCAGGCTTAGAATCTTTGTAAAACCCAGCAGTAGAACCCTCCTTCTCCTGAGGAGAAGCCCAGGAGCTCCCTGAGTTCTACAGAAGTACTGTGACGGCTGTCTGTTTGTTCGGAAGGAACTGCAGCCAATGATTGAGCTTTCTATCAGTCCTTATGGCAGCGGCCTCTGTAAAAACGCTTTGCTGAAGAACCTCTCTACTACTGGGACTAAACCACACTTGACCATGTGTCATAGCAGATACAGGCTATTAGTCACCTGCAAATTAGCACAGCATGACAGGTGACCATAGTCTTCTCTCACTAAGCACTACTCTAGATTGCAGGGGTGGGGTGGAGCATGAAATACTTCTTTACCTGAATATGTCACTGTGACTGGTTTAATAAAGAAGCTGACTGGCCAATAGCTGGGCAGGTAGAGGTTAGGGGGGACTTGCAGACAAAAAGAAAGCTCCAAGAGGAAGGGGAGGAGTCTCAGAATCATTAGTGGAGAGAAAGAGATTAACTTGCCCTACTGAGAAAAGGTACCAAGGCATGTAGCAGAGCATAGATAAGAAATATGGATCAATTTAAAGCTTAAAGAGTCAACTAGTATCAAGCTTGAGCTACTGGCTGAGCATTTATAATTAAAAATAAATCTCAGTGTGGTTATTTGGGAACTGGCAGGCAGGTCAGAAAGTCTGCCTACAGCTGAGGCTGCAAGCTGGTGGACAGAAGAGGCCTTAACTCCAGTCCATGTTCCTAGCCATCACACGGTGTTAATAATGGCAAGGTCTGGAAGACACAGAGGCCCAGAGCAGCACATTGGGTAAATAGTCCTGGAATAAGACAAGAAGGTGAAAACTGTTGGGGAAAAGTCAAACCCCATTTCAAAACACTGGACAGCTTCCTGGCCCCACAGCACTTCCTTAAGCACCGACCTCAGCCGACCAGGCCCGGCAGTTCATTACAGATACACAGTAAGGCTGCATAGGTCTTGGGAAGGTTTTGTAGTGGAAACCAAAATACCCTTAAGAGGTGAGCAGAGAAGGGAGTCAGGACAGGTAAGGTATAGAGGAGGGAGGGGTCAGCAGAGTGAAGGTACTGAGGAAGTGGAAAGCACAGGCAGGATCTGAGACATGGAAAAGGGCCCCCCCCCCGCCGCCCCTTGCCCATGGACTAACTTCTCCCTCTAATCCCCTCCCATATCATCTCCCTGGGGTTTCTCCCTTTGTTTTCTTCTATCTTCTTAATTGATCCTGTATTTCTTTCCTGTCTGCTCCAGCAGGTGTAACCGAATGACAAATACGTAATGACATCTATACTTGTCCAAAACTTGGTGCAACTTGACTTTGTAATTTCTCTCTTGTAAATGAGTAATAAACATAAAGTTTAAACAAATCATTTCTACCATTCTGCAGAGTCAAGGCTGATCAACCAAACACACCCATAAGAACAGGGTGGAGCCCTGCATAGAGTGCTCAGGTGTGCTTGCCCATCTCAGACACAAAGCAGACAGTACCGCAACAACTGCCAGCTAAAGAAAAGGTCTAGAAAGAGAGCAGAATATAGAATGCACACAGTATTTGTGTTGGTCAAAGCCTCCTCCTCGCCCAGGCACATGAAGTTCTCAAGAAGACATTTATAAGAAAACAAATGCAAGCCACCACAGGATTGCTTGGTAGTATTTTAGATATAAAATTTCACCTTTATCAATTAGCAGTTACATATCCCATTAAAGCATGCAACTATCAGGGGCACACAACATGCAGCATGCAATAAATGGGCAGCAGATGTTAATAACCTGGAAGCATAGGATCTGAGAATGTGAGAGCAAGTTAAAGACAAGAGTTCCTCTCCATTGTCACTGAGGGTCGAGAAGCAATGCTGAAGCGTGGAACAGTGAGAGTGGGGGAAATATAGTTTGTCCAACACATAGACATATCTCCGCAAGTGGCGGCAGGTATAACTGAAAGACAAAGGCAAAAGGAGAGAAACAGAAGAAAGGCGTTTTCCTTTGAAAAACAAATCATCCTTTATATCCTCAAAGTTTTCTGTGACTTCAATACACGATGTGGGGGTGGCGGGATGGGGGGTACTGTTAAAAGAACATAAACAAGAGAACAAATAACTAGAGTGAAGGTGGGCAAAGGTACAAACAGATGGCAAATGAGCACACATGGCATCACCAAAGTGCAAACAGTGAGACATCACTACAGACTTACTA